TGATCCATTGCTCAACATCCGTATCACTCCAGCTTCTGTATCTAAAGTGGTTTCCTGCTTAGACTCTTCTACAGCTTGTGGCCTGAAAAACATACCTGTTATAGTCTTGCAGAAGTGTTCTCCGGAGCTGCGGTCTATCTTTTCAAAACTATTTAACAAGTGCTTATCAGAGTCTTGTTTTCCAGCCTGCTGGAAAGCAGCATCTGTTATCCCTATTTTTAAAAATTCTGGAGAGCAATCTGATTCATCTATCTACCATCCCATTATTCTTCTCTCTATCATGAGCAAGGTTTTTGAATCTTTAATTAACAAACACTTAATCTCTCATCTTGAATATAATAACTTTTTGATCATCAATATGGATTTCAATCTTCTTATTCTACGGCTGATTTACAACAGTAATAATTGATAGGTTTTAGCGTGCATTAGATAAAGGTGGAGAGGTTAAGGCCATTGCTCTTGACATTTCTAAAGCTTTTGATAAAGTTTGGCATGCTGGTCTTCTCCATAAACTTTCTTTTTACGGTGTATCTGGTAACATTTTTAAGATTATTGAATCCTTCCTTTCTAATCGTAGTATAAAAGTTGTCCTTGATGGACAGTACTCTTATTCTTATTCTGTAACCTCAGGGGTTCCTCAAGGTTCAATCTTTGGCCCTATACTCTTTTTAATTTACATTAATGATCTTACAGATATTAACAGATACCAATCGTTATCGCAATAACTTAGGCCTTCCTATATTTATAAAAGGTAATGAACTCGATGAGTCATCTAACCTTTATCTTATAGGATTTACTCTTACTTCTGATCTTTCTTGGAAACCATAAATTAAATCCGTTGCAAAATTAGCATATGCTAAAGTTGCATCTCTTTATACGCATTTAAATACGCATTGCATATCTTTTTACGCATTGTAAACAAAGTTGGACCTGCTCTTGCAGCCAACCTTTAACATTTATCACATCGTCGTAATGTTGCTTTTCTTTTTCTTTTTCTACAAATACTATAATGGGTACTGCTCTAAAGAGCTAGCGTCTCTTGTGCCATTTACTTAAATTCACTCTCGTGTTACTCGTCATTCAGTTAAGTTCAGTCTCATCCTTTTTCTGTTACTGTTTTTAAGTGCTCCAAAAAATCTTATTTGTCTAGTTTTTTTCCTCAAACATCAGTTCTTTGGAATTCGCTTCCTTCATCTTGCTTACCTGATTCATATAATTTGCAATCTTTTAAGTTGTCTGTCAATTGTTATCTTGCTCTACAATCTTCATCTTTTCTTTTCCAGTAACTTCCAATATTAATTAGTGGTTGCTTGCAGCCTTGTTCGAAGCAAAGATGTTTTTAAAAAAAAAAAAAATGGACAAACTCTATTCTACATTAACCTTGTCTCTATTTCTCCCTCTAATATTTTTTAGTGAACAATAGATTATGTGCTAAAAAAAAAAAAATTCACATATGCATCTTTTCCGTATATTTATACATACAGCTTAACATGAAAAACATAAATCATTTAGTTCAAGACAACCTGCCCAAACCCATACCCTCTGTTGATTTATGCACACTCACTGTGGCTAGGTGTATCAAATAAGTAGCTAAGCATGTCAAATAAATTAATTTGATCTGTTTTTCTGCATAAAACAAAAACAGAAAATATGAAGTACTTGATATAAGGGTCTTTAATATTGGATTTAGTTAATTCAATACAAAGTGATAGGAAACTGCAAAATAAGGCAACAACCTGGAAATTATTCAAATACTAGTTTAGAACAATTTGAATTGTGCTTTATTAAAATAGCTTTTAGTAAATGGTATGAAGATTAATGATTCTTCTTCTTCGCCTTTAAAAAATTTCAAAAAACATGAGATGATTTAAAGATGTGGAACAACGAACTTATCATGAGCCGTTTAATACTGGTCATAGTAAGTCTATTCAACACCAACCGAAATAACTTCTCTTTATTTCAATAATTTTTAAAGAGATAAATATAAAAATCTTTGTTTGATATAACCATAAATGTTCAATACTTCATAACTTCAACAAATTTCTTTAACAAAAAAAAAAAAAAAACGGGATAGTGGTTATTTTTTTCTTTAATAAGTTTCTAATTTTTTTTCAAATCTGCAGCTTATTAGGACTCTTGCCCTGTTAAATTTACAGATAATCATTTTTTCTTTAAAATTAACAGGGCATGTAAAATATTTTCCTATAAGAAAGTTGTCCCTTTATTGCGCAGACTTTACTAATTACTAAGCACATCAACAACTTAAATATCATGGCATATGCTCAACAAGTTTTAAACGGTGTAATAATTTTAGAAATTTTAAAAAGCTTTTTAATGTTTTAAAAAATTTTAAAAAAGGTTTTTTAAAAAAATTCTCTCCCTTTCCTTTATTATAGTATATAATATCTTGATATATGTTATGCATATAATATCTATAGGCCTTTAAAAATGTTTTATTTTGTATTCTAGAAAATTGGTGATTTAAAAAAATTAAGTGTAAACAAAAGGATTTGAACCCAAGCGAAGCTCTTTAACCACTTTGACATGTTTTAAAAGAATAAAAAATAATCTTTATTGTATTAATGTAATTAATGTATTAACTGGAAATCAATTTATTTATACATAATAACAAAATAAAATATATAAAGAAAAGTATGTTCACAAAAAAAATTCAACTAAATTTGCATTATCAATAAAGGATTGGTAGATTAACCAATATTTGGTATAATTGGTAGAATAACCAACTACATAAATACTAATTATAGATGCAGCGTTTTTTTATCTACTACTCACTCTCCTCCTCGACATATTTATATTTATATAAAAAGGTGAGGGATGCTTTTGCCCTAAATTTGAAAAACCCATACCCAAAATGCTAAAAAAGCATTGTAAGATGTCTAAAATGAAACAAAATTAAATTAAATATTGGCATGAAAAAAGAAAAAAAATTAAAATGCAAAAAAAAAAAACTTGTTAAACAATCAAAATCTGTAAGAAAAGAAACAAAAAAATTTTTATTGAAAAAAAACATTTATTGCAACAAAAAAATATCACAAAAAATAATAGCAATAGTTGCAATGGCTGCCAAGGGTTTTCTGTCAAATACGCTCTAAGGGACACTATTAAGTTTGCCAATAATAGATAGATAATATATTTGTGGTTTTTCAATCTTGTTTGTTTTCTGGTAAAATTAGATTGAATATTAATGAATAAACATTTTAAATAATAAATGACATTACTGTTGTAATGATGAAAAAATTTATTATCTTATGAAAATCATTTTTTTTCAAAAATCTAATTTATTCCCAACAAGGCTGCAAGCAACTAATATAATTTATAATTTAATTATATAATAATAATTTGAGCAGCGGTGGCGCAGTGGTTAGAGTTCTGGCTCAGAACTCTAGCCCAACAAGCGACATTGGTAAGGAAGGAGGTTTGAACTTCTTGTTAAATGCTCTGCCGCAGTGCTCTATGATAAGACCCTAAAGAGTTCTGGGAGCACCTAAATAACAACAAAAAAATAAATATTTAAATAACTTGGGAGTTTCCAGAAACCGAAGAATATTGTTAAAGAGCAAGAAAACAGTTAAAGAAATTTTTTTTTTAGACTTGTAAATCTGTAAGTTGTATGAGTTATGAAAACATGAAGATGGGAGAGAAATCCAAAGCATTGATATGTGAGGAAACTAGATGAATCAAAGTTTTAAGAGCATAAAAGGACAGATTTAGTAAAAAGACACAACTGCTGAATGATGGCTTAAGCAAGAATAAGTTTTGTTTAGTGGAGATGATAGCTCATCTGTGCAACTATGATAGTATTTGTAGAATAGAATTATAGAGAATGTAGATAGAATTTTAGAGAGAAATAATTTTATAATAGTTTGAAATAGTTTGGATGTCTAATCAATATTGCATGATGGATAAAGAGGTTCAATCAATTTCATCAGAAACATCAGAAAGAGTACAGTCTTAAGAAGAAGGAAATCATACAAAAAAAATGATTATAAGATTCAAGCAAAATTTGAAACAAATATGCAAATTATTATGTAAATATATGAGCATGCTAAGCATGTGACTATTTGAGTCTTTGCAAATCAAAGTATAAAAGCCATTAATTCTGAGATCTGAAGATGAAACAGCCTAATTCAAATTAGTCTTACAAAGAAGTGTTAAATTTTGCAAAAGATAAGGTTCAACAGATAAAGTTACTTTAAAGACCACAAATATTAGTAAAAGATTGAAAAAATTAGGTGGTGGTGATGTTATTTTTATGTTTAGCTTTCTTAGGTACTTTAATCTTGTCTTAAGTTATTATAAAACTTAAGTTATTATAGACTCGATCATAGATAGCGCATGAAACCTTAGATCGTAATCATATGACACCCCAAGTAATGAGCTATGCAGCTACTTCTGTCCTACTAATTAACTTAACACCATAACAACAAATAATTTAACATCATAGCAAAGGGCTCTATTTGTCCTCAAAACTGCAAATCAAAAGCACTCACAGAGACACAATTGACATGCAACAGAGTACTGTTAATACTCAAATTATTTACAGCTGTTGATGGAATCAATTTTTTTGAGAGCTACCACAGAATTCAGAAAAAAAATCAAGCTCAAATTTATTAAAATGAGTTTTAGAGCTGTACCTTCATTAAAAAATAGCGGAAAAAATTGCGTTGGCAATTGGCACAAACAAAAAATCATGAATAGAGTCAAGAATATTCAGCGTTTATCTTCCTATCTATGGCAGCCTATTAGATTAAGAAACTGTCAACAAAATATTTTTGCTTACCATCAAAGGTAATTCACAAGTTCACAATATGACTAAATATAATTCACAAACAAAAGCATTATATCAAAAACATTAAACATTAGTAACTCATAGCAACATACCCTAGTTAAAAAGTATTTTATATATTTTTAAAATTCCAAAAAGTAAAAATGTCATTTTATTACATTTATTTTTTTATCAATTTTTTTTTTCTTTCTAGCTTAGATGCTGCATTAGATTTATTTTCGAAGGTAATTTTTAATTTTTTTATTTTAATTTGTTCTTCAAAGTTTACCCTTATTTAATTTATTCTTCAAAGTTTACTTTTTTTTAAGTTGATTTTTAAAGTTCACATTTTTTTAATTTGCTTTTCAAGTTTAAAAAATAAAAAAAAACATTTTAATTATTTTTTTTTTACTAGTGTCGCCCCCCTGGTATCTACAAAGAAGATTATATTCAAGAATTATACAAACGGTTTGGTACTGAAGAGCAAAACCCTCCTCCTCCTCCTGCATTGCCTGATTGGTGCTTTGATGAAGATGAAGAGGCTAGTGGTGATGAAGATCATGATAATTCATCATTAGAGAGAGCTGCTAAAAGGAAAAGAAGACCCTACAATGATGTTTGTTTTTAATTATTTTACACCATTGTTTGTTTTATTATTTATTTATTTTTTCTGAAGGTTATTTATTACAACCAACCTTTTTTGTTGTTGTTTTGCAAGCCTTATATGACCAACCATATAATATTTTGTTTTGCCACAGCTCCTTGCATGTTTTAAGTTTAAAAAATGCACTGAATAAACAAATGTAAAATTAAAAATAAACATACTGGAAAGTTAAAGAAAATCTAAAAAAAAACTAAATTAAAAAAACAAAAAAGACTAAATTAAAAAAAGATAAAAATCTTAACAAATGATAAAATGTTGAAAACCAGAAAAAGTAAAAGTATAAAATTAATGTTTTTATTTTAGTTTAAAAGACTTTCACTAGAGTTTAGAAAAAATCAAAGTTTTAGAGTTTCACTAGAGTTTAGAAAAAATCAAAGTTTTAAAGTTACTTTATCCAAGTTTAATTATTTCAAAACTTAATTGTTTAAAAATGTGAAACTTTGATATTTTCTAATGTCTACAAAGCAAATAAAACATAAAAAAAAAAAATCATTCGTTAATAGGATTTGAACCCTCGACCATTGCAGATATAACAGTTGCTCTTTAAAAATGACCTAATTAATCAACCTTCGAGCTGCATCAATGTGGCGATGAAATAAAAATAAAAATTTCAAAATTCGCTTTAAAATTAAAAAATAAATTAGTTTTATGCTTTTATTTTCTCTGGTTTATCCTTTATTTATTTTATTGTTCGTCGAGTTTATTTTTCTTTTTAGTTTATGGTTTGTTTATTTTTTAATTTTCTAAATTAGTTTGGTTTTTCAGCGCATTTTTTAAATTCACATATTACCAATATATGCAAAAAATTGTGGCCAAATTGTCAAAAAAAAAAAAAATTGTATGCCTGGTTGTATAAGGGTGTGACTGCATGTGTCTCTTGAGATGGCTTGTAATATATATATTTGCTAAAGTTAATTTTGCTAAAGTAATTATGTTACTGAAGTAATTTATAAAGAAAATAAAATTGAATCAGTTTGCACCAGCACAAGTATTTATTAAGAGGTCATAAACCAAAAGTAGTTATTAAGAGGTCATAAACCAAAAATTCAATGTATACTCCTTTGAAGGTTACTAGTTTTTTTCAAAAGTGAGCTCGGGCACAGAACCTGGCGGTCTTTATGGCTAAGTGTGCATTACGTTTAATGTATTTTAGTGGCAGTTTTGTTTTGCTTGATGTTTTGGATAAAAAAAGATTTATAAAATAAATAATGAATTATATAAGAAAAGCTTAAATTCTACTTTTTAAAAATATATAACAGTAATAGCCGAAAATAAGCAGAAAACACAAAAAATTGAAGTTTAAAAATGTAAATTTTAAAACTTCAATTTACTGGAAATATTGCTAAAAAACAGAATTTTTTCGTGAAAAAAAAACATTTGCTGTAAAGAAAGGTTAAAAAAAAATTTGACAAATAATGCACAAGTTAGGCTGGAAGCTCTACAAACCTGTTCATGAGATCAAATCCAATTACATTCGTGTTGCTACATACATATTACTTCTTTTTTTGTGACATACATATTGTTTTATTTTTATCTAATATTTAAATAGTTATAAAAACTCTTTTGTAAAGGATATATATCTAAATTTATTTTTATTATTTAAATTTCAATAAATTAAAAGTAATATGTTTTGAAAAGTTTTTAAAACATATAGAATAAAAAGTAATAATTTTGTATAATAATGTTGGTAAATAAGATAGTGGTGTTATGGTGGAATTGTCTTTTGTGTATGTGATCTGGTGGTTGAAATTCAACACTTTTTTTACTCACCAAGTTTTTTTTCTGTAAGTGTATGTATATTTGCTAAGAACTGTATTTCAGAGTTGTTTGAATAAGAGAGGCAAAATCAAAAAGATAAAAAAAAATGTAAAAAACCTTATACTAATGAAATAATAATAACCAGTTTTCATCAGTATTGTTATTATTGTCTTTATGTTTTTATCTTTAAATTAGAATGCCAAGTTTTGCAATAATTTAAATATTGAAACTGTTATGGCTCGTGGTGCAGAAAGAATTCAAGAATTATGTGAAGGGATGCTTGACTGGGACA